TATATATCATAAAAATTTAACCATATGAAGAAACCAGTTTCCGTTCTTTTTTTCGCTATTGCTCTGCCAATACAAGCTGAAAGTCTTGAAGAGGTTGAGATTATAGTATCAGGGAACCATCCTCCGGGGAGTGCGTTTCAACATGTAACAGTTCTGAGAAAGGGGCTGCTTAAGAGACACTTCCTCTTTGCCAATGGAATATGAAAGGAATGCAAGTAATTTCACTCACTACCATGGCGAGTTCTGGATGTGAAAGTTTGAATTGGAGGAAACAAAGTATGTAGTTATCCCGGACATCTGCCATTAAAACAGTGATAGTATAACGAGAAAAGAGCAAAGTTCCCACTTTGGAAAAGAGTCTGTGTGCTGGGAAATATTTCATCACCCACAAAAGACACTGAGGCTGCAATGCGAGATGCAGAACTGTCAATTTTCCCAGCTGTTTAATAATTGATCATTATATACCAGTATATTAGTGGTCTGGGGTGAGTTTGAATCCTAATAGTCATCCCTGGCAAGTAGCCTCGTTGAGAGGACAATCGTTTTATCATGACATCACTACTGGTGATAACATTACTAGCTTCTTATTGATGGTGTTGGTTATTACAAACATATATATATATATATATATATATATATATATATATATATATATATATAATGTAATATAATATAATTGTTAAAACTTGACTAATGCATGGAATAATAATGCAACACAAAATGTATTGAAACAAAAAAGTGTGCACAATATCTACATATAGTCTTTTGTATATTCCTGGTAAGACCATTCCTGGAGAATGTGTTGACTGAGTCGCAGTCGGGCAGAGTCTCTGGTTGAATCTCTTGATTCCTTCATCTCTTCCCGGTACCAACCATACTTATATGGTCGGTACTCCACTATGCAAATTAGGTGGATCCTACCACAACAATAATATAATGTAATATGATATAAAGGCTTCAATACTAATATTCCATGGTTATAATTTATTACATTGGTTTGATGAATTGAACCGTGCTGAATTTGTAGATTTGATGAATTGTATCGTGATTACGATTCCAATGTAATAAATTATAACCATGGAATAGGAATGTTTGAGCCTTTTATATTATATTCTTGCTCTGTCCTGAACATTGGACTCTACCTGGATTGTATCCTTTTGAATATATATATATATATATATATATATATATATATATATATGCATGTGTCTTTATGAGTGGTATAGATCAGTGGTTAGCAAGGTAGTTTAGCGGACAATTATACAAGACTGACTGGTAGCCGGACGTGTCGCCTTGTGAATGTATTTGTTAAACTTAATCATTACCTATAAATGACTCCTCTATTCTATCAGTACCCGAAATTTATATATATATATATATATATGTGTGTGTGTGTGTGTGTGTGTGTGTGTGTGCGTGTGTGTAAATTTTGAAAAGACACGAAAATAGAGAATGAAATTGCTTTAAAGAATGATAAGAGAAAGACTAGCTAATTGGATCAGGACGAGTGATATCTTGTTGAATGGACGAGAGAAAAAGAATGAAGGCAAAAGATGAGACGGAGAAAGAAAGAACAGCAATCCATTGGCGGCAAGTTGGCGTAGGTGAGCGGCCGTCAAGTTTCGCAAGGACTTGTAAGGTCAGGGATCATTGCTGAAATGTTTCTAGTGCGACATAATTAATTCCGAGAGTCGCCCCAACTTCGACCTCTCTCCGACCAATTCGGGTTGCACAGGAAATTACCTCGTCAAACAGACTTTACGTTTCGCTTTCCGATTGAGAAGTTGAGTAAGAAAGAATTCGAATCACAACAATCCACAATTCTTCAATTAATAAAGCTTTCTTGCTCTTCGACATTCTGTTTTCTTTTTTTTTTCTTTTCATCATTCTGTTTATTTAATTTCTTGCTCTCGTCTTTTTGTTTGTTTCGTCCTTTCTTTCTTTATCATCTAATCTGTTTTCTTATTTCACTTTGTTTTTCTCTATCTTTTGTCAATCTTTTTCTTGCGTTCCTGTTTTACATTTTCTAGTTTTCTTTCTTTTTCCTTTTCACTTTCTTCCTTTTCTTTAGTTCTTTTTTGTTTTATTTCTCATGCTCCCATATCTTTCCTTTTTTTTTTCTTTTTTAATCAGATTCTTCTTGCTTTCTTTTCTTTAAGATATATTGCTATATTTGCACTGGTTTTTCTTTCTTTGTTTTTCTTGAATTGTTACTTTCTTTTCTTAAGTTTTTTTCTTAAATTTCTTTCTAATGTTTCTTTCATTCTTTTCTTCTTTCTTAACTTCCTCTTTCTTTCTTTTTTTCTTTCTTCATCTATATTATTATATTTCCTCTTGTGTCTTTCTCTTTCGTCACGCCTTTCTACCTTGGTTAAAATTTCTGTCTTTCCCTTTTTTTATCTTTCTTTAATTTCCTTTTCATTATTTATTTTTTCCTCTATTTTCTTTTTCGTTCCCCTACATACATTTTATATGCCTTACTTTTTTCATTCGTTGGTCGCTACTTTCTTTCTTTCTTTCCTTTTTTCTTTCTTTCTTTCTTTCTTTCTTTCTTTCTTCTATATAGATAGATAGATAGATAGATAGATAGATAGATAGATAGATATGACCAAACTGGAATAGATAGATAGATAGATAGATAGATATGACCAAACTGGAATAGATAGATAGATAGATAGATAGATATGATCAAACTGGAATAGATAGATAGATAGATAGATAGATAGATAGATGTTAACAGACTCGAATAGATAGATAGATAGATAGATAGATAGATAGATAGATAGATATGACCAAACTGGAATAGATAGATAGATAGATAGATAGATAGATAGATATGATCAAACTGGAATAGATAGATAGATAGATAGATAGATAGATAGATAGATGTTAACAGACTCGAATAGATAGATAGATAGATAGATAGACTGATAGATAGATAGATAGATATTCAACGTCTCTTTAATATGCTCATTTTTCTCTGTATATATTGTTTAAACTGGTCTTTTTGTATCAAATTAAATTGTTTTCCTTCTCGTTTGCTATGTGTTAAAAGACATGGTCAGGTATATATTGTTTCAAATGCACCCTACCCTCATTTTATGTACTTGCTAAATCTGTCAGCTGTTCGCTATGAAAGGACACTCGATTTTCATAACTCCTTTATTGCTTCAACTACATTTTATCCTCTGGTCTATTCTGAAGCTTTTTTCTCTTCTAGTCAGGGGATCAATCAATGAAAAATATGACTATTTGTTTACCTAACCTGTTACATCACGGGAAGATTTTAATCAGTAAACACTATCAAATTTGTATTTACTTAAATATATACATATGTTGGCACATGGGAATCTGGTGGAAGAGGAAGTAATAAGCGCTAATAATGGTTATATTTGAGAGTAACTGACTTTGAGGTTGAATTTCTAGGTGAAAGCAATATGGAACAAAGGCTTGAAATATTTAATATTCACAAAGAACATTGAATGAAAAAACTAAGAGTAAGCTATTTGGTCATTTCGTGCCATTGAATGTCCCAACAATCGTTTCAAAGTTAAAAGCGATGGAAATAGAATTTTCGAGAACGACAATATTGACTAAGTTGAGGAGAGTCATAATTGTTCACATCTCGAAGAGATAAGACACAGAGAGATAGGCTGTAGATAGATAGATAGATAGATAGATAGATAGATAGATAGATAGATAGATCTTAACAAACTAGAATAGATAGATAGATAGATAGATAGATCTTAACAAACTAGAATAGATAGATAGATAGATAGATAGATCTTAACAAACTAGAATAGATAGATAGATAGATAGATAGATAGATAGATAGATCTTAACAGGCTGGAATAGATAGTAATAATAATAATAATTTTAATAATAATAATAATAATAACAAATATGTTAATCCGTATTGAATTTCCAGGAGTAGGCATGTCAAACTAAGGGCATATGGATGGGCGCATTGGCCATGTCTGCAGCCTCGAGGGCCGTACCTGCTTAAAGTCTTACCTTAATTACACCTAGTGGTAACTAAACTTTAAATACAAAATACTTACAATACAAAGTAGTACAATTTAATCATTTTTATGTTGTCCTGATGATTGATAACACTTTAGACAAAATATTCTCGAGATAACAGGTTGGAATGTCCTTGTAGATTCCACTTTGGTCAAAGATGACGAATGTTCATCAGTTAATCTGATTCTGTGAGATGTTTTATGTGGCCTTCATAAATGAAAACAACTGCTCAGACATATGTAGAACCAAACAGTGCCATAATCTTTGTGGCAAACTTTCTGAAGTTCTTAAATATCTTAGGAAGGTATTAAAAAAATCTGGGTACCCCTACTTCTAGATACTTTTCTTTGAGTGTTGAGTCAGTCTACATTTCCAGTAGTTCCATCTGTAGACTTTCCTTTGCCTTAGCAGCATCAAAATAAATGGTGCTGAGAACAATGCAAACTGATCTTCACAAGATGAAAATCACAAAATCTTTGCTGAATTTCCTTTGACAGCAATTCCAGATAATTGTCGTACTTAGCAAAGATAAGTACAGAGTCAGTAGTTGCAGTTTCTTTCAAGTCCTTGCACATAGAAAAATGAATCAAGTTTTCATGTGACAACTGGTACTTCAATAAAGCTAATTTTGCTTTGAAACACTTGATATCATCATATAACCGAGTGATGAGCTTATTTTTACCTTGTAATTTCAAATTAAGGTCACTTAATTGGGCAGTAATATCTACTGAAAAAGCTAGATCTTGGAGCCAGCTTTCATCTTTCAATTCATCTCTGCATTGACCCTTCATCTCCAAAAACTTAAAGATTTCGTTTCGCAATAACAAAAAATCTTTTCAGTACCTTGTGACATGAAAGCCACCAAATTCTGTGTAGAATGGAACATTTGTGAACTGATTATTCACGGCTTCCAATAACTGACTAAACTGATGTTGAGGCAGAGTACGACCTCTGATATAGTTCACTGTTTTTATGACAAAACTCAACACATGAACTAATTTTAAAATCTTGGAACATAAGTTCTATTAATGAAATATACAGTGAAAATGCTTGTATGTTGAGTCTGGATATATATTTTATATTTTTGTACCTAACCTGGCTGCAACACCATTATATCTTCCAACCATATTAGCAGCACCATTAGTAGGTAACTACACCAGTTTTACGCAAACCAAGCCCATACCCATGGAGAAGCGCTTCAACTTACTCAAAAATGTCCTGGCTTGTTGTAGTATCATGCATTGGGACCAGTTCAATTAGTTCTCCATAAATTTGAAATTCATTGTCACAAGCCCTGATGAAAATGGCGAGCTGTGCTATTCCAGCTATGTCAACAGTCTCACCCAGTGCAATAGAAAAATGTTCAAAACTTGATGATAAAGTCTTCAACTGTCAACTCAAATCACCTGCCATTTCATCAATCCGTTCAGCAACAGTGTTCCTGTTTAATGAAATGTCTTGAAATAAAAGTGACTTCTCTGGGCATACAATTTCGGATGTTTTTACTAGACATCGCAGAGTTCAAAACTTGCAATAACAGAATTAAAGTTGCCTTTTTGAATTTTTGTAAAGCAATTCTGTTGCTGTGTTAACTTAACCCTGAATTCCTTCACTTTTGAAACATGCATATCTCCTTCATATTTACCATAAGAACAATGGTTTGTTTCATAATGTCTTTTCACATTTATTATTTTGTCGTCGCAATGCAGTGGTTACAAATCAAGCAGATTATCTTTCCATTAACAGTCGTACAAATGTACTGTAATACCCACTTTTCCAGAAGGACACGTCCTTCTCCAGATAATTTTCTCTCTTTACGAGATGGAGTAGAATTCGATATTTTTAAGTAAAATATTACAAAATTACGAACGTTTTCACTTTACATTTATTCTTATTTATTTGTTAGGAATGATTAACCGGAAGTTAAAAATAGTCGCTGATATTCGAGAAAAAAAAAACATTAAGAGAGAATAAACAATTTTTTCATACGAACTGAAAAAATCTTAGTTTTTAATAATTTGCATTACAAACATAGTAAAAAGTATTAATTAATTAATATCAAACACTATCAAACAATAATCTATCTATCTATCTATCTATCTATCTATCTATCTATCTATATATGTGTGTGTATCCGAATGTAATAAGAAGGAAAATAATCTATCTATCTATCTATCTATCTATCTATCTATCTATATATATATATATATATATATATATATATATATGTGTGTGTGTATCCGAATGTAATAAGAAGGAAAATAATATATAAAATCTATCTATGTATATATATATATATATATGTGTGTGTGTGTGTGTGTGTGTATCCGAATGTAATAAGAAGGAAAATAATATATAAAATCTATCTATCTATCTATCTATCTATCTATGTGTATGTATGTATGTATAGATAGATAGATAGATAGATAGATAGATAGATAGATAGATAGATAGATAGATAGATAGAGAAATAAACTGACAGATAGCTAGAGAGAGAGAGAGAGAGATTTATTATGGACATTCTTTGAAAATAAGGAAGAACTTGTGTATGCCAAGAAATTGAAGTAAGTGTTACTAAAAGAATAGCATTGTTGTCGTCGTTGTGTTCTACAATATAAAGCATTCCTTCAAGAGACAGGAAAACGAGCACAATCTGCAACTTCTTAATTTTCAGTCTTCTGACAATTTTAGAATGCGCTGAATAAAATCTATAGATATTAGGTTATTATATGTAAATTTATATGCTAACGAATATGCAGATAGATATGCAAATATCTGGGCATCGTTTACGAAATACGCGTATGTAAAAACGACATAGAAATGTCAGGATGAACAAATATTCGTTGCCAAGAAAATCTCCAGCTTCAGAATAATGCGAACTGCCTAAAACTTGTTTGACAATTCAAAATGTTCCCGTTTTTTATTTGTATCCTGTAAGATATATTCTAACAGTTATTAACGGATTTATAATTTTATTTCTTAATATAAATTTTCATAAATATATTCATTATATTTTAGGAATATATATATATATATATATATATATATATATATATATATATATATATCTTACTTATTATAAAACGTAGATTGTGTGTGTGTGTGTGTGTCTGTACGTTTATATATGGGATAGTATTTCCTACATTTTTCAACCGATTTCAACAAAACTTCACAGGACTACATAAAATTACCTTGCGGTGGTTCTGACAGCACCAAAAATGGGAAAAACACAATTGTTTTTGCATTAAATCAATTTGAAAACACGATTAAGAGGCACCGCTGTCGCGAGAATGAAAGATGGACAACTCATATTGTGTCATACTTATTATAAAACCCTGTGTGTGTGTGTGTGTGTGTGTGTGTGTGTGTGTGTGTGTGTGTGTGTGTGTGTGTGTGTGTGTGTGTGTTCATTTATATATGGGATTGGATTTCCTACTTTTTTCAACCAATTTCAACAAAACTTCACTTTTTTTGGCAGGTAGTGTTTCTTATCGTCTTGCACACTTTTTTTCTTTATTTTTGCATTCAGAATGCTTTAAAAATTCCATTTACAAGACAATTGTTTATAATAAAATTCTATTCAATTGGTAGACTCATAACGATTGAAACAATGTTTTTGTTTGAGTTTGGGTTTGACCAATTCGTAAAAAGAAAAAACCAAAAAAAACAACAAAACAAAAAACTAATTAAGACATGCGTGTCCGTCAACCTTAAATAATAACCTTTGCCAATTTTATTTTTCAGTCTTTGGTCGATACTTGATCTGTCTCTTACTGTTACATCCCCGGGCAACGCGGGGCTCTACTGCTAGTATATATATATATATATATATATATATATATATATATATATATATATATATAATATTATAAATTAACTGATTAAAATATTTTTCGCTACACAGTAATAACATGTTTCAAAAATTGGAAGCTAAAACCTTTAAATTTAATTATATAATTAAATTAAAAGCATTAGTTCCGTTTCATCTTCAAGCGAATATTGGAATAACTTATTTTTAAATTTACTGAGTTTTAAACGCACATATAAATTCATAATTTCCTGTTTCCAAGGATACAGAGAAATCCAATCATTCAGACAGGGCCGGTAGCGTGTTCATTTCTATTAACTATAGTTGTATCAATTATGAGTTACGTTCGAAAAAGGGGTTAAGTTTAAATTTTATTAACGGCAAAAAATTTTCCGGAATTTTTTCCTCAAAGATTCTTTTTAGGAGTGTTTGTGTTAAAATACGTTTTATTAAACTACAATTTTAAAGTATTTTACTCTTACTTACTAATAGACTATGTTTCTATTTAAAAACAAGTAAATGTAATAGAATTACTTAAATTATTTAAAATTATTTTTTCATATCAAATATAAGTATGTATGTTACCAGCTCCCATTTCTTAATTTTATTTTTAAATATTATTTAAGGAAAATTTTTGACAATGACGGCAAAAAATAGCTAATTCATTTCTCTGATTCAGTAATTTTTTATTTTTATAAACTTAGTAATATATAGTTTCTCATGTATGCACAAAGGAGATGGGTCATTTAATGACCTACATATTCTAGATTTTTCTTATTAATTTCCATTTTACTGTATATATATATATATGTATATATATATATATATATATATATATATATATATATATATATTAAAGACATTTTATGTTTAACGTTGTTTTTTATAGATACAAGTATTTAAGCAAATGTTCTGTTTATGATAAACAGTATTAAATAACATTTACCGGCCTGAATGTCCGAGAAATTTTCATAGAAAATATTCGTCCTTTGACAGGATTCGATACGGAACCGTCATTTACGCTGACGTGCCTTACCGTCTCGGCCACAAAGAACCTTTCGGTAGACAAGGTCAAATCTACTTCTTATAAACTTAAATTCGACCTCTACCGAACGCTCCTTTGTGGCCGATCGGATAAGGCACG